GAGGATGCACATGCGGAAAAGATAAATCAAACATAACATAACCAAGGACCTTCCACACTAAAGTCCTTTCTCATGTAACCAAACCCTAAACTGCGAATTGACAACTTCCTTCCATTGTCCCTTTTACCTCACATGACCCTAACCACAAAGGCCAAAAGACTAGTGATCTGACTATGCAATACCACGACCCTAGGCTGCAATCCCGTTCCTCCGGGTATTACAATCGGTAATCACGACCCTAGGCTGCAATCCCGTTTCTTTGTGACTAGCGATATCTGGAAGTGTCAACCGCTCTCTACAATTGTTAGAACGTTACATGATCCTCTTGATCACTTGTAACGCCTAACCTCACACACAACATAAAAATTTTACTTTTTACTCGCATGCATCTATTCAGATCACATGCGAATCAGCTTCCTCTTGAAGCCTGCATCCACAAAGGTTAGTGGCAACTATAAACATAATCATCCCATGACTCATGCAGCATGCAATTACACAATCAAACATCATGCACAAACAATCAAAGAAAACAATTAACCAAATCCCTAAAATTCTAGCAAGAACCTCTACGACTATGAAGCATAACAATAAACAAGCAACGTGTGCCCTACTCATCTAGCACACGAAAAACATCACCAAGACTCACCTTATTTTGAACGGTTAGGACTTAGATTCGGACTTAGGCTTTAGACCGGATCTTTTTCTTTGGCTATTCTACGGACTACTTCCTTGACGGAAATGGACAGAACTTAGGCTAGACTTTCGACCAAAGACCTTCACAATACTACACGGTGGTTCACGATCACGTCCTAGACTAGATGACGATCACGGCTTGGATTAGATCATGGTCACGTTTTTATTTTGGTAGAGCTTTGCTACTGTTTTCTATGTATAAAAGTGAGAGCTACTTGGTCCTATATATAGGGTTAAGCAAGTAGGCAGGCAAGGAGGACAGTTAGAAGGTGTGTGTCGTGCTTCCCGATGACTCATTGCACACGGTCGCGACACCTCGTGCTTGCAGATTTTTCGTGCTTTTGATTTGTCGTGCTTCCGATTACTCTTTGCCCATGGTCGCGACACCTCATGCTTGCGGATTTGTCGTGCTTGTGGATTTGTCGTGCTTCCGATGACTCGTCACACAAGATCGTGACACCTCATGCTTACAAGATTTGTCGTGCTTTTGACTTGTCGTGCTTGCGGATTCGTCATGCTTGTGGATCCCAAGCACGTCAATCCCGAGCAGCTGTGTCGTGCTTTTGTAAAAATATCAAGTTTGAAAAATCATGCCACCTCGTGCTTCGCGCCACGTCGTGGTTCAGACCACCTCGTGCTTAAAATTCCGTCATGCTTGACAATTTTTCTTCCAATAACTAGGTCTTGACTCGATCATTTTCCGTAACTGTTTTGATCTCTAGGCAGGGTTATTACACCGGAGACGGCAACGGTGTGGACACGAGACGGCAAGCGGCCAAGGAGCAGAAAATTGACGACCATAAAAAAGAAAAGTTATTAGGATATGGAATCGCCTCGTTTCTTCTTTTTTGACATAGTGTGATTTTTTCTGTGTTAAGGTAGAAAAGAAAAACATATTGTTCGGAGAGAATCCGATCAAAAAACTACCCAAAAAAGAGTAAAGTCCGAGAAGAAATGCGCTCGCTATAAAGATTTTTAAATCCTTTTATGATGGAAAATAAAGAAATATTATAGACTTTTATCTGTCCGGGTTTTGTATACCAGGTTCTGCTTTTTTAGTTGGATCGGACTTAGCTTCTGGGCTTCATTTCATACACACTGAAGTGTTTCACGTAAGTTCTTTGTTTTTTTTTGTGTCATTTGGTTGACAATACGGTTTTGCATCTTTTAGTTTGACCTTCATGTACCACTGGTAGCTTTGGATGAGATGGGTTTGACGCTAGAGTGCTCTGTCGGAATCACCTCATTTGTACTTTAATCGTTATCTAGGTATAGAGCACCTGTTTTTTTATCCTAGCACAAATAAGGTAAAAGTTTTTACCTATTGCCTCAAGATTCAAACTTAAGTTTCTGAGAAAACAAATTAAACTTAGCAACTAAAGAAAATATTTTATACCTACCCCGAGTTTGTGACACAGGAACTCAGGGTTTTTGAAGATCACAAAAAAGAAAAAATGACACAATATATTATTAATTGTTTTAGTATTACAAAAAACCAATTAAATCGACAACATATCCATCCTTCATCAAAATGAGAAATTTATTAAAGTGAAACAACACAAAGAATGTGTGACCAACATTATCCATCTTTCGATTCTTGACGTGGAACATCCTTCACATTTTGATGCCTCTTCTTATATTCATTTTGATACATAGTCCGATGATTCATCCTTTCATCTGCATCCACAACCACTTCTGCAACCACATATGCATCCGTAGCCATATTCGCAGTCATATCCGCATTAGCATCCACATCTCCAATATCATAATGAGGAGGTAAATAAGCAAACTCACCGTTTTCGTCAAGACAATTAATTAGCTTACTTGAAAAGCTTATTCTCAGGATCAATTATCTTGACGAAAATGGTGAGTTCGTTTATCTACCTCCACATTATGATATTGGA